GTTTTTTTTTTTTTTTTTAATGTGTGTGTATTTAACTGCATGTTAATTGCACCTATTTTTGACGAGATACCTTCTGTCAAACAGAGGAGAGGCACAAATGCTGTATAAATAAATATACTGGACATATTTAAGGCTTCATATGCTATATGTATGTGGCAATAGGGTTGTTAGATAACTGTGCAATACTCTTTTATTAAGCCTCAGTTATTCCTTTTGGGATGTGTCCCAAAGCCATAAACTATAATTGAAACTATACCCTGCATGTGTTGGTATAAGCAGCAGTCCAGAAAAGGATGCTTTAATAGGGCTGTCCAAATCAGCAGGTTTGCTGACAAGTTCCTCAGATGTTGTCTAGCAATCAAAGAAATAGTCTAGAACTTGGTTTTAGTGGCACAGTATCACTTAAGATGTGGGTGAGGTAAGGTACCTTAAACATTCACCTTGCAGGTACAGGGGTAGGAGATGATAACAACAACTCTGAATAGTTTAAAGGCCAACAACCTTTTCTTAAAACGAATGCATTCAAATTTAACTTCTTAAATAACCACCACAGTAAATGAAGGCTTTTAACAAATCCTTCTTTTGTTGCAAATCCCTAGCTCTTCCCCTTGCCAGACTCAAGAAGTTGACACTCTCTCAGGGTGGAGGAATCTTGTGTATCAAAGCAAACAACCCTCTTACTAACATGTCTGCTCTGGAGCATCTGCTATCAGATGTAAACTGATTCTGCAAGGAACCCCTGGCTTATCTATGTGTCTTCAAGTACAGATGAGTAATTTGGACTGTTAATGTTTCCACCATGACTGAATAGCCCGCAGTCAACATGAAGCTTTCTATCACTGGAAGCTGGGTTGTTGTTGGTTGGTTGTTTTTAAATATAACTAAGTTTCAAAAAACCTCAATGTTTGTTTATTCTCTGTAAGAAACTAAGATTAAGGTAACTAAAAGTGTATAATCCTTGTTGGGGACTAGGACAGAACAAATGCCCAAGTTGGTTTCAAAATTAACTGAGTTAATATAAGGCTTCTGACAAGAGCCTGGAGGTCCTGTGTAATGAATAACCTGTTAGGCATCTCACTCAGTAGGTCAAGTAATAGTTCAGGAAGCCAGGGTGAAGTGGCACCTGAGAAATGGTTAGTCTATTTAACTTTTAACCGTACCACCACTTTGGCACCAAAGACCTGGCTTGTTTAAACTAAAGTGGAGAGCAAACAGAGGTATTAAAGAACCTGAATTTCTTGTACTATAATTTGAGGATGTCCTTACAGGTTGGGGCTTTAAATGAGATTCACAATGATGTGGCGCATGTGCATGTAATGTATATAGCACCTGTTGCAAATCCAAAAGCTTGTGCACTATTACAACCATTTACTGGTCTCAAAAAACTCTTCTGTTGGACAAGTCCAGAAGCTGTTTCTAAATTTTGTTAAATTAATGCTAAATAAATTCTTAAACCCTTCTTGAGCGCTCAGCGTGCCTGTTCAAAGCAATGCTTTAGTGGCCAGGGCCAAACTACTAGCTCTGTTAAGTATCACCTTAACTTTCACCAAATGAACCTCTTGTTCCAAGTATGGGGGGCTGACTAAACTGGTGACAGGGAAGATAAATGTTACTCACCTACGTTTCCAAAGGATACAGAAACCCTCCCTTCTGTGATCGAGAGCTGTTTTGCTCATTCAAATAAGAACCTTTCTCCACTTTTAAGCTCTGGGCAGACTAACACAAACCCTGACTTAAATTACATCAATCCTATAGCAGCTTGCACTAGGGACTAGGTAATATGCTGTTTTATCCAGGACAGTGAGGGGATAAAATGTGTGCCTTGAAACACAAAGGACAGCAGTTTAGCCCAAACATGTCCGTTATTAATGGTAGTGTAAGAGTGATGCTGTAGCCATGATGGCTGATCAGACCTGATGAAGAACATCTGGCACTTGAAAGTTTGTCTAATTCTACCCCAACTAAAAGCTGCCACTCCAAGAAATCCTTGCCCAGTGGATACAAATAGGTCAGTTGTCCACGACCTTAGATTCAGCTGGGTTTGCCATGGATGCTCCCAAGACCACCAGGCAGCTTCCAACTGTCTTGCAAGACAATTTCCCTACTCTTCACTGACTCAAGTGGACAGAAAGCTATTTTGTGTGGATTCAAATTGAAGAGATGGTGGCACTGCCTCTGCTGCACAGCCAACACCAGCTCTACGGCAGAGGAGAGCAGCAGCCCCTCGCAGGCTGAGCTGTACTTTGCTCTACCAGAATATGAAGGGTCAGGACCTGGAATTAAAAAGGGGGAAGACTAGAGTGCGTTGCTGCCTGGATGACCATTTCCCCTTCCAAGTCTTCTTATAACTCTTTTACAGTGGGGAAGGGAAAATCAACCCTTACTAACCTCAGCAGTAGTCCCAGAACTTTCCAAAAATCAAACACCTTGCTAGAGATCTCCAGGCCTGGATCCAGTTGATAGCACTAGGTTAGTGGCTCTCAACTTTTTTACGCCAGACTTGTGACACTGCTCAGAAAATGCCAACTCCTATGTTCTTACACTTTTTGACTACAGAAAAATAATAGAGCAGTTTTTCTGTTGCAAAGAACTCAGAAAGGCCATAAGCCCAGACATTTCAAACAGAAATCCACAGTTATCTTGTGAATCGTGTTTGTAAAGCTAGCCATACTAACACTCCCTGCTTCACCCTTGAAAGGATCCCTGGTTGAGAATCACTGCACTAGATGGTCAAGTGCTGCAGGGAAGTATGCCTACTGACAAACCCTACTAGACTGCTGGCCTCTTTTACATCCGTGTAAAACTATCAATTAAAATGGCTATCCCTTCCTCTTGTACCATGGTTCAAAATGTTTAATTTAGATTTTTTTTAGCCCTCAAAGGCTGTTACTTTGATCAATATCAGGCCCTTGTTCCACAGTAATTCTGGGCCGCTTCTGGAGCTCTTAACCCCTGGACTGTCTGAACATTAATACCTTGAAGTGGCATTAAAACACTCAGGGCTCGTGGACAGAGGTGATATCTTTTATTAGACCAACGATTTTTGCAAAAAAATTTCTTTAATTGCAAGCTTTCAGGCACAAACACTCTTCATCAGGCCTCAGAGAAGAGACTGTAATAGTTCTCCTGGGTAGTGGTGTTAAGCACTCATTATGCAGCTCAAAGTGACACCACTCCAGGGCAGGTTTCTCTCTGATCTACACTACCCAGCTCCTGTTCCACTAAAGTGTGGCCACTCCTCACAGATGTGCTCCCCAGGCTGAAGACCTCCAGTACCCCATGAGGTCTCTCACCTCTGCCAGTAGGGGAGGGATAGAAGCTTGTCCTGGCTCACCAGGCCTCCAGTGGCAACTCACAGCTACAGCTCCTAGTCCTGCCCCTGCTCACCAGGCCTCCAGTGGCAACTCACAGCTGTGCAGGTAGAGGGAAAACTCCTCAATTAAGCACATGACTGCTCCAACCTCTAAGCTAGCACTAACACCGATCAACAGTCATGCAGCTCACACCATAAGGTGCAACAAGGCCCTCAGTCTTCTTGCAAGCAGCTCTCCCTATGGCTCTGAAACCCCTTCTTCCCTACCAGTTTGATCTCCAGCTGGCCCACTTCCTAGAAGGGGAAACTGGTTCTGCAAGGGTTTCTGGGTTTCACAACAGCCTTTATCAACTGCTTTATCTTGTCAGACAACATGAACACTGCAAAATGTGGTTCCAAGATGCAGCCAGGTGTTGTGTGATATTACAAATTAGTGACATCTCGGTAGCTCTGCTTCACTCATGTAGCAGAAAACCTAAGTTGCACACAGTAACTTGATACAATACAAAGAGCTTAAGATCAAGGCTGCCAAGGCAAGCAACCTGCAGCTCAGGTCTTTGCCACCCATGTGAGTGAGTTTCTGGATCACACACTTATTTCAGCAGGATTCTTGCCTCACCCAGTCCCTGGGATGAAGAGTACTTTCAGCAGCTAATTGCTAGCTTACCTTTCTCTTCATTCTCTACAGCCCTGTGCCTTGTTTACTGCATGGCTGTCAAATTCAGTCTGAAAGCAATGGAGCTCTTTTCCCTGTGGGTTTTGCTATTAGGCCTATCACCGGCCAGCCTGCTTCATAAACAAAGCACTTATTTTTACCGCACCCCCATGAGAGGAGGCCACGTTATCCCTATGCTACAGCTTCTGCACATCATTTTCATGAGGGTTTGTCTGTTTGGGGGTTTTTTTAAGTCTAGAAAATCAAATACGAACATGTTCCTCCTCAACAGTTTTGACACCTCCAGAGGCATTACATGGATTCCCACCGGCAGCAGAGATGATTCACCAGTGGATTTCAGATATGTGACCACTTCCAGGGGGTCACAGACTTCCATCCATCCTCTTCCCTCCCCTCCCCTCCCCCAAGATCTGGCGCCTTCCCCTCTAACCTGCCCCAGTCTCCACTTCACAGCCCATGGAGACGTTATCTCCTTGCC